AGGGAGAGAGAGAGAGAAGAGGAATAAAAGGAGTACACACACACACACACACACACACACACACACACACACACACACACTACACATATCTTCCATCTGCTGGTTCGCTCCTCAAATGGCAAGGGTGGGGGGGGCCAGGTCAAAGCCCGAAGCCCAGAACTCCACCTGGATCTTCCATATGAGTGCAGGGGTGCAAGCACTTGGGCCATCTGCTGCCATCTTTCCAGGTGCATTAACAGATAGCTGGATTGGAAATGGAGCAACCAGGACTTGAACTAGTGCTTCCATGGGATGCTGGCATCACAGGCAGTGGTTTAACGCACTGCCTCCAACCCTATAGTTTAAAAAAAGACTCATGTTTCTGTTCCCTGAAAGCACCAAAGGAATGAATGAGTGATTGGTTCTAAAAGATTCTGTTTCATGTTATACCTGGAACAGTAGAGCATGCTAACCTGGTGTTTTCGTCTACAGGTGTGAGCCGTTCCCAGGGAGGTGTGGTCTGCGGGGACCTCAGTCCCACCATCACGCGTGGCCTTGGGGGTTTGACCATCAGCCCTGGAGCTCTGTGCCCCCTCTCTGTCACAGGGGCCTACTCCAGTGCCAAGTCTGTGCGGTTCACGTGAGGAGGGCAGGCACTCTAGATGGAGTGGGTCTGCTGGGAACTGCTATGGGGCATGAGGGGAGGTTTTGCTCCTGCAGGCCCACCCTAATGCCAGGAGTCCCTTTTCACAGGGGATGCAGAACTAACTGTCCAGTTTCCTTCTTACTGTCACCAGGAGTGATACTTGTAGTGTCACCTGGCTCTGCCAGGGAAGCCAGGGAGAAGGCTGACAACTGTGGGGGCATCTTTGAGCTTTGTCCAGGATGGGAGAGGCTGCAACTGTCGCCTCTGCATTAAGGGAGCTGATGGTTAGGGTAGGCCAGGAGCTCCCAAGAGCTCCCCCCATGTTTGGGATCTGACAATTTCTGTGTTCCCCAAGCCCTCCCAGCTGCTCGGAGGCCAGGCCTGACGGATTGACGGATTCGTTGTTTGGAATTGCATGATGCTGGCCTAATTCCTCCTGCATGGCTCCTGCTTTCTTTTCACGAGTCTGATAGATTAAATGTGAATAGCCAAAGGCTTTCTCCTGCCCACCCAGTAAATATGGCAGGCCTCCATCATGGTGTTCTTCATTTTTCTGAAGTTGTATTTACTGGCCCAGGAGTGGGCACTGCGTGGGGCTGTGCTCGTTGCTTAGCTGTTTGGAGAGGATAGAGGGAAGGTGACATAGCAGAGCTCCCGGGAGCCTAAGTAGACACATCTCCCCTTGTCCTTGCTTCTAGAGGAGTGAACATAGAACTCCCAAACCTGAGTCCACCCCCCAGACATGCAGAGGAAGTCAGTCGCTGACATGCTGGGGTGGGGTGGAAGAAAGGAGGCATTTGTCAAGTGCACAGCTTGCTGCCCAGGCTCCCTACGGAGGAGCGAAGATTGTTCTAGATTGAAATTGGAACTGAAAGGTGCATGATTGGCTCTTGTCCAAGTTCCTTTGTGACCGAGGTCAGTGGTACTAATGGCGTTCCTGTGATGGGTCAGCAATGCTATGCTCTTGAGGGAATTTTTAGGGTGGCCAAGTGGTTACCTTCTTCCCCCAGACCTGGGATTCTCCGAAAGAGACTTCTTGCAGACAACACCGGCCAGCGGGGTTGTATCTGCTGGAGAAGCGAATGAGTTGTATGTGGTTGTGAGAGCTACCGCTGGATTCGCACCTGGGGCCAGCTGTACCATTCTCTCAATTCAGCAGGTGCCTTTGGATGTGCGGTTAATCCTGAAGGACAGTCGAGGACACCGTGGACTAAGGTGGAGGTCCAAGAGGCTGCATTTTAACCTCCACATTTAGGACGTGTATGTTGGGGTTCTGTTTCAACTTCATGATGAGGCAGTGAAGATAGCACCCCAGATTTAAAATCCAGACCCCCAGCCTTGGGGCAGACAGAGGCAGCTGAATGGTGCTTTCTGTCTCTGGCCACTTTCCTGAGTCCTTGTGAAGCTTTCTGCTGTGGGCCCAGGGGCGCCGTGGTTCAAGGAGTCAAAGACAAGCTTAGACTTTCCCTTGCGTCCTTGACTTGAGTGTGGGGAAGTGAAAGGATCATAGATGCACACACAGAAAAGCAGATGTGTTTATCAATGTGCACAGATGCATGGGGGCCACACACAAAGGACGAGGCTCAGAGAACATTCCAGATGGCTGAAGTTGATCTAGTGTTTTGAGCCACAGAAAGAAATAGGGGCTGGAGGATTCTGACTAAGGCTAGGTAAACCAGGTTTTAAGAGGCTGCTGAGGGACAAGGACTGGAAACTGAGCTGTCTGGTAAAGCGTAGGAAGTCTGCCAGGGAATCTGAGAGCTGAGAGAGGGTGGCCGGGGGAGACATATTAATCCCGAGGCTGTTTCTTGGCTCAGCTTGCTAAAGCATTGTATGTTGGGATCTCATTCTCTGAGTGTCAGTGCAAGGCCATGGCCCAGGGTGACCATGCCTCTCTTAGGAGTGCAATGAGGGCTGCCCTTGCTTCCTGGCCACACTGCATTCTGGGAGCCACCACATTTGAACAGGGATGTAAAACCAGCATCAATGCAGGCTTTGAGGAGGCACAGGAGGGAGTCACATGGGGCACTCAACACCCGAGAGGGCAGAAGATGTGATGGAGATCATGAGGTTGGCCTAGGGAGGGCAACTGTGTTGCTTTTCTTCAAAAATTAATCTATGAATTACTTGATTTTCATTTTATTTGAAAGGAGAAGTGGGATAGAGGGATTTTCCATATCTGGCTCACTCCCCAAACGCCCCCAACAGCTGGGGTTGAGCCAGGCTGCAGTTGAGCGCCTGGAGTGCCATCCAGAACCCCCCAATGGGCTCGCAGGGGCCCAAGCATCTGAGCCACCCCTGCCGCCTGCCAGGCTGATCATGGGCAGGAAGCTGGATCAGAGGGGGAGCAGGCATGCCCACCTGGCCAGTGAGCATCCTCAGCAGCGTCCTACAGGTGCGTTGAACACCATTGCCTCTTGTGAAATGATTGCCACCCCATGCCTCACCGTTTCTGAACTTGGCATGGTTTGCAGGGTTCATGAAGATTTGTTTAACAATTAAATCCCAGCAGCATGTGTGTGGGCCTGAATGGTGAGGCTGCAGAGCCATAGTCCCTGGGCTCTCACCTCCCTCCATGGTCTCACTTGCCCTCGGCTTTCCTTCCCCTCTGAATTGCACACCGCCTGACCTCCCCTTCAGCTGCCTCCCTAGTTGCATGCCTGTCCTTGGAGGACTATGGCCTTGGTCTTCCGGAGGGATGGGCTCACACATCAGGGGAGGCTTCATGACCCCCAGGAGCCTTGGAACAGTTTGCTTTGGGTTTTTGTCACTGATTGTAAAAAGGGATAGGTTCACGTATATGCACGTATGTAAGTATTGCGTATATGTACCTGAGTGTGCATAAGAGGATATGTGTAAACAAGTGTGCGTGTGTGCAGGTATGTGTGTGTGGGTGTGCATGTATGCAAACATCTGCACATACATGTGGGTGTGTATGTGTGTAAGTATGTGTGCAAGCATCTCTGTGTGTACATAGGTGTGTGTGTATTTGTAAGTGTGTATGTATGTGTGAGGGTGGGTATATGCCTTCAGGAGCCACAGGCATCTCTGGCCAGCTCAGTTGGCTGCCTACTCTCGGCACGCAAAGCATGGAGATGGATTAAAACACTTCTGAATGCTCCTCAGCCCTGTGGTTTGACTCTTTAATGCACAGTCCTGTGCTCGCTGGGTTTGTGGTGCATGGCTTGCATCCGTGCAGACATCCACCAGTTCTCCCCAAAGGCAGCCTCTCTTCAGCCCCTCGGCACCCCAAGGAGGCAGTAGGGCTGGAATGGGCTCACAGATTTGGGGTGCTGTCCGAGGGCTCCCGGAGACATGGCTGTGTAGGCAGGATTGGGTCTCACATGTCTGATCCTTTAGCCTCCGAGACCAGCCCTTTCTGCTTATAGCATTCCGCAGGCCTCTGCTTTACCCAACTCCCAGCCTCCTGTCCCTGAGGACAAGGTCATGGTCATCATAGGCTACTTTCCATTAAGAGCCAGCAAGCCGATCACACAAAGGGTGGGCTAAAAGGTCAGGAACTGGGGCTGTGTGAGTGGATGGTCAAGTATATTCAGATCCTGGCAGGCAGCAGGAAGGGGCGGGGCCACTGGGGACTGCAGAGGGGGTAGGGACACGGCGTTCACCAGACCACGTGGCCTTGCATCGCAGCAGCATTTATTGAAACACAGCTTGATTGAGTCAACCCAGAAGGCAAAACACTGTAGACAGCCACAAAAGAGGGGGACCCAGGCCCACCTTCCCCATCCCACCCTTCCAGAGGGCAGCCCCTGCATACGCAGGGGCAAGATGGGCGCTTCCGCAGAGGCTTTGAAATGTATAAAGGTGTTCTGAGAGTAAGACCGGCCGGAGTGCCCTGCCAGGCAACCTAGGCCAGAAGACTTTCCAGGGAAAGGGGCCTTGGCTGCAGCGCTTAACCCAGGAGTCGGCCAGAGGCACAGCGAAGTGCAAGCAAACACAGGCTGCCTAGGGGTCCCCAGTCTTCCTGGCTAGATGGGCCTGCTGGGAGGGCTCCTGGGTTGCCGTCTTAGGCTGCAGGAGGCCTGACTGGACAGTTAGGGTCCTGGCTTTCCCAGCGGAAGCTTGCATGCTGCCCGGCCTCTCTCTCTCTCTCTCTCTCTCTCTCTTTCTGGAGCCGGGCTATGGTTGGGTGAGGGGTAGGGAATTAATCTAAGTTGAAGCAGAGAGGAGAATGTAGAAGACAGCCCCCCTAATATAAGGAGGTGGAGGAGAGCGGCCCCTGGGGTCTTGTCCTCTGCAGGAACTCTGGAAGGTTCTGGAAGCAAGCACACGTCTTCCCATTCACACACCAGTCAGTGCCAGGGCGGGAGGTGCGGGTCCGCAGGGGCAGAGGCACTTGGCGGGTCATCCGGCTCTAGGCAAAACGCACAGACCGGGTACTCCCACAGCTGAAGCTGGAGGCGCGGGGTTGGCAAGGGCTGCAGGAGTCAGGTGCCATCACTGTCATGCTGCCACCCATGGCTGAGGGGCCTGACGCAATCTGGCGTCCTGGGGTGGAGCTGTAAGTGAGACCGCCACAACTGACTCCGCCTCGGGAGCTGCTGACACCTGTGGGCAGAAAGAGATGTGGGGCGTGGAGGGGTGAGGGACTGATGCTCTCACAGCTAGCTCCAAAGCCCAGGGCCTTGTAGGAGCAGTCGCCACTTTAAAGGGTTCAGTTAAACCAGGGAGACTAAGATACAGGGAAGCAAGATGGTGATGGTGGGGGGGGGAGGTCATCGATGTGGCACAGTGCGTTAAGCTGTCACATGCAGTGCCTGCATCCCATATGGGTGCTGGTTTGAGTCCCGGCTGCTCCACTCCTGCTTCAGCTCACTGCTGATGTGCCTGGGAAAGTAGTGGAGGATGGCACAAGTGCTTGGACCACTGTGCTCACGTAGAAGACCTAGAAGAAACTCCTGGCTTCTGGCTTTGGATCAGCTCAGATCCAGCCATGGCGGCTGCTTGGGGGAGTGAATCAGCGGATGGAAGATCTCCCCCTGCGTATGTGCGTATCTTTCTCACACACTCTCTCTGTCACTGTCTTTGAAGTAAATCAATAAATGTCTTAAAAAAAGAGGTGAGCCAGGAACTCTGGACCAAGGGGGATAAAAGTGGTCCACACCCAGCCCCTGTCCTGTAGCTCACTGTCACCTCCAGAGACAGGTGCCCAGCCAGGCCTTGCCCACCTCCCACAGAGGGGAGGCCAGAAGCCCTCTCTCAATTGGGAACACTTGAGGCTCAGTGGGTTCAACCCTGCCCTTTAGGAGGGTCATTTTCCTTGGGGTCTTCGGAGCAGATACTTACACACGTTCACGGAGCCCACGCCCTCGCACAGCCTGTGGGCAAAGAGCACTGTCAGTTTCAGATGCTGAGATGGATTCCCAGAGACCATGGGCTACCATGGGCCAGAGAGGGTCTTGGCGCCTGCAGGGTCTACTCCCCAACCCCGAGAGGCAGGAAGAAGTTCCCTCAAATCCGCAGGGTCTCTCTGAACTTGTAGATGAGCCCTGACCTACGGCAGCCCAGGAGGAGGACGCAGGGAGAACCTGGGGCTAAGGACTTCTGATTGGTCTATCTTGGAATGGAGTGGGCAAGCTCACAAAAAGGGTGGTGAGCTGAGTGGAATGCATCTGCACAGGGCAAAGTACTTGTTGCATGCTTGGGGGTGGGGACGGGGGGCGGGAAGGGAGAGGGGATGACTGAGTTGCCACCAGAAGCGCTTGACAGGAGCACATGCTGTGGCCGCAGGTGTGAGTCCCACTGCTGAGTAACTAGGCAGCGGTGAGAACGGAGCTGAGGCTGATCCATTAGGAAGGGAAGAGTGGTTGTTCCCCATGCCACCGGGAGGAGTCTATAAGAACGCTGTGCACAGGCCTGGGACAGCACAAGCAGTGGGCGGATGGGTGTTATTGGGAAAGCCTGGGCTGTCCCAGTGTGCTCTTGGCCACAGCTCATACTCAAGCTCAAGGTGGTTCACTCCCAAGGGACCCAGACCTCTACCGTCTAAATCCCTCCCTGCCCCACCTGTGTTCCTCGCCCTCCAGCAGGCGGCGGTAGGTGGCGATCTCAATGTCCAGGCCCAGCTTGGAGTTCATCACCTCCTGGTACTCCTTGAGCAGGCAGGCCATGTCCTGCTTGGCCTTCTGCAGGGCCTCCTCCAGCCCTGCCAGCTTGCAGCGGGCATCGCTCAGGGCCGCCTCGCCCTGCTGCTCAGCCTCAGCCACAGCAGCCTCTAGCTTGGCGCGCTGTGGAGGTAGAGGTGGGAGAGGTGAGGTCAAGGAAGGATGGGTTCAGAGGGGAAGGCCCAGCAGGGCGCACCCAAGCTGACAGAACTAGGCCACAGGGAAGAGAGGCTGGGACCTTGCCATCTGTGCAAGGAGGGAGGAGGTGAGTGGACTTGGATGGTCCTTGCACACTGGCCAGGGCAGGGGCTCGATCCCTCCTGTGAAGTTAGTGATGTGGCTCACCCCATTGCATTTACTTTGGGGTAGGGTGGAATCTCTTCCCCCTCTCTCTGGGATCCCTGCTGCCTCAGGTGCATGTCATAAGGACACATTAGGATGCCTACCTATCCTGGGAGCCTGAGACCTCCCCCTACTTTTACCTGGCACTTGGCGTTCTCCACCTCGGCCGTCAGCCTCTGGATCATGCGGTTCAGCTCGTTGATCTCCTCCTTGGTGCGACGCAGGGTCTCCCCGTGCCGGATCACCGTGGCCTTCATCTCCTCGCACTGGGGAGGAAGAGTAGGGGTCCCTGAGGCTCAGCATCCCATCAGGATGGCTCCAGGGGACCAATGCTCAGCAGGTGCACCCACACATATCAAGTACAGCCACGTACTTAGCAGGTGCACCCATACACTCAGCAGGCACACTCACACATTCATTAAGTTCCTCGCACATGGAAGTCCTGACTCCTGATGGCAGAGATGCAGCTCTTCCCTTAATATCCAGAGTTCGCAGTGGGTACCTTCCACTGTCCCCAGTGCCATGTTGAGGAGGCAGGCCCCCCTTGCCGCTCACCTTGCTGCGGTACCAGGACTCAGCCTCAGCCCGGCTGCGGCTGGCAACATCATCATACTGAGCCTTGATCTCAGCGACGACGCAGTCCATGTTGAGGTCCCGGCTATTGTCCATCTTGACAATGACCGAGGTGTCTGAGATGTGGGCCTGGAGGACGCGGATCTCCTGCGGGACCAAGGGTTGATACATTTGCATCTGGGGCCTGGTCTGGGCCCAGTCCCCGGGTGTGTGTGTGTGTGTGTGTGTGTGTATCACATGGCTCCTGTCCCCACCCCTTTTGTTCACATATGGACTCAGGCTACATCAGAGAGCCGGAAGGTACGTCTAAGATCAAACAAGCCCTTCATTTGACAAATAGTAATGTCAAGGCCCAGTGTGTTGAAGAAGGCTTGACTTGGAGATGCCCTGCAGCACCTCCTGCAGAGGGGCTGGCTTGTTCATTAACACCTCTCTTTAGGTAGAAGCCCATCACCCTGAGCCTCCTATCTCACTTCTATATGCATCCACACACCTGCACTCGCATAGTTCAGGGAATGAGCACAGCACTCCTTGCCCAGGTGCTCTCACAGAGTCCCCAGCACATGTGCACACCAGCATCCTCATGCATGCAGATATGGGCTGGGCACATACAACCCACACAGCACACATCTGTATGTTCTATCACGCACTGAAGAACACACATACAAGTGCATATAGATGTACATCCATCTTCACCCCTCTCCCCTGCCTCCCCCAGGGCTCCACACCTCCCCCTGCACCTGCTCCACCTGCCAGGCAGGTGCCCCCTCACCTCCTCATAGAGGCGCTTCAGGAAGCTGGACTCCTCCACCAGGGCCTCCACATTGGCCTCCAGGTCTGACTTCCGCAGGTAGGCGCAGTCCACGTCCTGGTGGGGGGACAGGGGAGAGGGGCCGTGCGTGTGGGAGGAGCCCACAGAAGGTGTCTCCTGTCAGTGTGGGAACTGTGGTACCCTCCTGCCCCGCCTGGAGGCCAGCCCCCTCACCTTCTTCAGAACCACGAACTCGTTTTCTGCTGTGGCTCTTAGAGCCACCTCCTCTTCATATCTGGACATGGGAGAGAAAGGGTTGGAGTGTGCGAGTTGGGGCTTGAGTACTGGCCCCGCTCCTGGGCCAGCTCTTGCAGGGCTCACAAGGATAGGCTCTGCCTGTCCGGCCTCTGCTACCTCGTGTACCCAAGTCCCAGGAGCTCATGCTTGCTCCACATTACCCTCCGCCAAAGCAGCCCTTCTACCTCTAGAATGAAATTGGGACACATGTCCTGGCCCCTGCACTTCAGGGTATCCTACGTCCACAGAGGGCAGGTGCTACGCATGGTACACCGCACAGGTGATTGGGGGGAGGGCAGAGCACACAGACAGCTGCTGGCCACCCTTGGGATTATTTGCTTAAACCCTAGGAGGCCACATGGAAGGTTCAGAGCAAGGAATTGGAAGACACTGCACCCATCATTTTCCCACCAGACATCTGCCCAGGGGTCCCAGGCAACCCCCGGTAGAGGGGAGCTCAATGCAGCTGGCAAATAAGGGCTCTTTTGGCTTTCTCTGGGCCCTCTCAGCTGGCTGGCACACTCACTTCTTCTTGTAGCCTTCCAGCACCTCCTGCACATGGTTGAGCTCTGAGGACAGCCGCCCACTGTCGGCCTCCACACACTCGGCCTCCCGCCGCAGGGACTCGATGTAACCGCTGAACAGCGGCTCCAGGTTGCTCTCACAGCAGCGCTGGTTCTGGTAGAACTGCCACTTGGTCTCCAGGAGCTTGTTCTGCTGCTCCAGGAAGCGCACCTGCCAGGGAGGGATAAAGGAAAGAGTGGTTGGGGTGGGGGCATGGCAAGCCTGGTGGGCAGATGCCTGGTCCTCTCCTCCCTGTCCCCCACAGCCGTCTCTGCGTGTCCTTAGCTCTGTCCCGAGGTCCTCCTCCTCCCCAGCCTTGCCACTTTGAGCGGGAGGGTTGTTTAACCTCTCGGGGCTTGGTTTGCTCATCCCTAAAGTGGAGATAATAGAGGTAGGAGTTACGGTGGTGACTGAGGCCATTAAGATACTCCAAGGGCTTAGAACAGTCCCTAACATGCAGGGACTATTAACATAACTACCAGGTACCGCTGGTTTACTCACTGTTACAGCAAACACGTGGACTGTTTACCGGCTCTGTGGGCCTGCGCTGACGCCCACGTGTGTCTGTCCGTGTCTGAATCCGTCTCCGTCTCTATACCCACGTTTGTTCCATCCCCCCACCATCACAACCCTGGGGAGTAAGATGGCATGTGCCCTGAACTTCACATGGGGAGGGTCAGGGTGGAGTCAGCATCCCATGTCCTGCAGGTCCCTGTCCCCTGCCATCCTTGCTCGTTCACTTTGCATATCTGTCACACAGCAAAACCCTTCTACTCTAACTTGCCGTTTGGAAAATGCAGATGAGCACACCTACCCCATTGCATCTTGAGGGTTGTGAAGGAGAAAGAGACCAGAGGAAGGTCCCCAGTGCTTCACACCCCCATGCCCTGCTATCCCCGTAAACCTGAGTCTGGACCTTCTGCTCTCCTGGGAGGCGGTTTCTGGCCGTCCTGTGAAGTGTCCTCTCTCTGTCTGAACCGGGGACCCACTGCCAACCTCGCTACCTCACTCCTCCAGCCCCATCCTTCATGCGTGAGGAGGCTGCCCTCTGGTTGGCTCCCTGTTGCCACATCCTTTGTAGTCCTTGGAAAGCCAGACTGGACCAGAAGTCACCCCCACAGGCAGATGAGGCAGGTGCTTTCAGCCAAGTGGGTGATGTGCCCAGGATCTCACACTGCTGGGGTTGGGGAGGTGGCATGACCTGGGGTGGGACCCAACCACCGATATGTGCTGCTTGTCCCCGGGTCCCCTGTCCATCACTCCCCAGAGCCCCTGCAGTTGGGTATGTCAGGGACAGACCACAGACTCGATTTCCAAACCCACCCCCTAGACCTCAATCAGCTCCTTTTTTTTTTTTTTTTTAAATGAACGATGCAGAACAATCCTGCTTTCCCTCGCCAGTGTCCCCCGAGGAAGGATGGGGCCACAGTCTTGCTTGGCACTTCCAGGGCACCGACCTTGTCGATGAAGGCAGCGAACTTGCTGTTGAGACACTTGATCTGCTCCTTCTCCTCGTGCTTGACGCACTGCGCATTGGGGTCGATCTCCAGGTTGAGGGGCGTCAGCAGGCTCTCATTGACAGACACTGTGGTGATGCAGGGCGCGCTGGGCCCGCACACGCCGCCCGAGCGGTAGCCGAAGCTGCGCCCACAGGAGCCGGCGCGGAAGCCCCCGACGGCCATGCGGGGCCCTCCACCTGAGCCCAGGTTACACAGGCTGCGGCTGCTGAAGCCAGTCAGCCCCCGGTAGCAGGATACCCCCCTGTAGGGGGCGGCGCTGATGCAGCAGCGATTGCCAGTTTTGGGGGCCACTGCGGAGCAGGAGCTGAAGTTCCTGGTGACCCCGCATCCTGAACTGATCCTGTAGGAGCGACAGGACATAGCGGTGTTGGGAGGAACGGCGTGCGTGGAGGCTGCGAGGCTGCGAGGCTGCGAGGCTACGGGTGCGAGGCGTGGGGAAATCTGTGCTTCTCTGATCCTGCCTGCTCCTTTTATTGGTGGGGAGAGCTGGGCTTGGCGGCATAAAAGCAGTGAAAAGCCATTTTATGTTGTTTATTGGCTTGGGGAGTTTGCCAGCAACTCCCTAGAGACTCCTGTTAAAGGTGAGCTCAGCGGCGACTCCAGGGCCCCCGAGAAGTGGTGGGGATGTTATTAGGGACCGTGTTTGCACTTTTCATCTTCAAAGCTCGTTTACATATGTTAGGTCATTAAGCTCCTCTCTCTCTCTCTCTCTCTCTCTCTCTCTCTCTCTCTCTCTCTGGGACTTGGCCTCAACCCACACCCACTTCCGACAGAGTTGAACTCACGAGTAGTCTGGGGGTGGCTGGGTTGGGGATCTGGGCAAGAGACTGTCCTCTTAAGGGCAGGGTGGGAGCAACCCGGGATCTTTGCCACCTGCCTGGCTCTCAGTGGGACCGAGTGTGCCTCACTGGTGATGGATCAGACGGGGCCCACGGTGCGGCCTGGCAGGTGGCTGGGGACCATGGGAGTCATTCTGACCATAACTCCCTGCCCCCCCTCCCTCCCCACCTCCTACCAGAGGGCTGGAGCAAAATGTTCTCTTGGAACCTTCTGGATTCCAGCCCAACAGGCCCTGTTCCAGGGCGTTCACTTTTCAACCAGTCAAAATGCAAGCCGCTTGACTCCTCGTGGCTGCGGTAATGACCGCTTGCGAGGCTCCTCTTGAACCACTTTCTTCCATGTGGTCACCAGGATGGGTGAACCTGGTCCCAGGACAGCCTGGTGGCTGTAAACCTGCCCTGGGCACCTTCTGCTTCAAGAGGAAACGTGCTCCCAGCAGCCCCTTTGTCCCAAGAGCAAGACGGCCTGCCCCCCCAGTGGTCCCTGGCTGAGGAGTAGCCTGAGGCTGCTGGACACAGAAACAGGGCCTCTTGGGGATCTGCAGCCACTGTGACTTCCAGCTGCTGGAGGCTACGGGAGCCTCTTGCATTGACCATCCCTGCTCCCCTGTGTGACCTGGGCCACTTATTAGGATAATGACTGCTATTCGTGCCCTGTTTCCTGAGCACCAACCTTGGGACCTGGTGCTCTGCCCCCAGGGAGGTCAGCTGCACTCCCACGTGCCAGACCTCATGGTCTTCCTCCTCCAGGCAGCCCCCAGAACTCAGCACTGCCACAGCTGGGTCCTCCAAGAGAGGCTCTGGACTCTGTCCTGGGACTTCCCCTAGGCCCAAGAGCTGCCACCCCACAGCCCATTCCTCTTGTTCCAGGGAGACAAGGTAGCGAGACCAGGCCCGGCTGGGGCAGGGAGAATCGGGGCCCCAGCAGCTGGTTGTGGAAGATCTCTAACTCACAGGGGCCACCTGTGCCAGTGGGTCAGCAAAGGGTATTGACCTGGTTCAGGGGCAGCCTAGACCTTTCCACTAGCGTGGCCTGGGCTGGGGAGGGGAAGGGGATGTTCTCCACTTCTCTGAGTCTCCATGAATTTGAACTTGGCTTCCACCATGCGTTAAGGACCCTAGGCCCTGCTTGGAAGGGAGGGGAGGGTTGCTTCCTGCTGAAGGTGTCCCAGTCAGCCTGCACCCACAGCGTGGGCCTGCGCCTTGCTGGCCTCTGCCCCTTGCTTCCGGTGCACATTTACCACCCCCGGCCCTTTCAAGGCCGCCTTTCATGTTCCCTTGAACCTGATTTCACTTGCGTAAAGGCTCTGGGGGCGGAGAGAGGAGCACAGTGGGGAGATTCCCCAGGCTCCACCTTTAGTGGGGGTGGGAAAAGGGGCCCTATGGCTGGAACTCAGTGTGCACGGGGAGGGGGCGCGGGGGATGGGGGAGAGCTCAGGGCAGTGGGCTTCCGGCCCACTGGGCTGGGGTGTGCTGGTGGAGGCTGAAGGGGTGCCTCCTCTCAGCGGGGCTGCTCAACCCACCCCATCTCTCCAGGTGGATGGAAAGGGCAGAACCAGATCCACTTCCGTGTGTCTCCTTGGCAGGGTGGGGCATGAAGGCTTTGCCTTGTCCAGAAGAAACACACCGCGCTCACACACACACACACACACACACACACACACACACACACTTGAGTATGCATATATTGAACATGCATACATATCTGTACATATCCCCCTTCCTCACCCCAAGCCTTCCCCTGGGCCACATCTTTGCCTAGACTGTTCCTGAACAAATAGCTGCCTCTTCCAGGAAGCCCTCCCGGGACAGGTTAGAGGGAGGCTGGGAACTCCTTTCTGGCACTGTGCCCAGGTGACTCCTGCATTTTCCTGCCACACCCTCTGGTCCTGTGTTCCCAGCCTTCACCTTCTTTGGTCTGGTTCCCACCCACCCAGCATCAGGAATGTCCATCCCAGGCTCCTTGACCTGCCCGGAATATGGAGACCACCTCATCTGAGAAGCCCTCAGGAGCTCACTGGATGGGAGAGGTTCCTTACCCCGTCTGCTCTGGAAGTTGAAGCAACTTCCAGCACCCCTCCCTATCCCCAGAATTGGGCTCTGCACTTGCCTCCGGCTTGCCCCCGGCTTTCCTGGGAGGCCTCACCTGTCATCCCTCAGCCCCTCCTTCACTCTGTCTGAGCTGGAGTGCTGGGGGGGGGGGGGTGTGGCTGGTTCTTTTCCACGCCAGAAGCTCACTACCTCCCTTCCTTCCCTTTTGCTCTTTGTCCAGGCATAAAATCCCCCCTACTTCCAGGAAGACTTCCTGGATTTGTCAAGAGAGGACACTGACCCCTTATCCCTGCCCGGCTCTGCCCCCCCGTCACACCCTGCCACACCTTGCCCCACCCTGCTAGTGGGCCTGCCCGGTTTCGCTCTTGTCTCAGCCTGGGCGGCCATGGTTCATCCTACCACCTTCCCTGGACAGCTGGTTCTCCTGAGTTAACCCAGATGGGGCTGTCCAAGGGGGCTGGAGTGTGGCCCTGGGGGTTGCCTCCTGGCTGTTGAACGTCACCCCACGGGCCCTGCTGGTTGGCCATCTCTCCAGCTTTTACAAGACCAGTGAGTGACTGGGAGAGCCTGTGGTTGGAGCAAGGGTAGGGGCCACAGAGAGCAGCTGGATGAGCCAAATCTAACCTCTGGGGGTGGTGGGCGGGCCTCCCCCCGCTGACCACCAGCCACTCCCACACTCTCCAAGCTCCTACCCAAGGGCTGCCATGCTTGGCCTCCCGGGGCTGACTCTTCCTCCCTGCACAGCCTCTGGTGCCGGAATCTATCCAATTTAGGATTTCAACATTCTTCACTTCTTTTCTGTTTTGGTTATAGGATCGATAAAGTCGCTGGGCTGGAGCTGGTGCGTGGCACAGTGAGGGAAGGCTGCTTCCTGTGCTGCTGCCATCCTGGCTGGAGTCCCAGCTGCTTCACAAAGCAGTCGAGAGTGGCCTAAATGCTCGAGTCCCTGCACTCCTGGCTTTGGGTAGGCCCAGCTCCAGCTGTTGCAGCCATTTGGGAAGTGGACCAGCAGATGGAGGATCTGCTGTCCGTCTCTCCAGTTTGCACACTCTTGGCTCAGCCACATGGCTTCCTTCAGGGTCTCTACTCTTATGCCACCTCTATGACCCTCCTGGTTGAAGCCACAGCGTACCCTCCCACCCCTACTTCTGCCTGCATCCAGCTTTCCTTGTTCCAATCTGTGTCTTTACCCTATGGCATTTGCCACCTTCCAACAGCCTTAGCATGGACTCTTTCTATTGGTCTATTCTGGTCATTCCCTCCTAGGATCCCAAGATAAACTGGTTGGTAGAAGTGGGGAGGGAAGGAGAGGGAGTTTATGGATGGGTCCAGGCCTCAGGCACCAGAGAGAAGCCTGGACCTCCAAGCCCCAAGGGATACCCCCTGTTGGGGACCCACAGAGTCCAGGGTCTTCGTCGGGGCTTCTGATGCTGCAGACTGGGGTTCAGGAACACAGCGGGGACTCTGAGCACTGCTGGGCAGGGGAGAGGTGAGAGACCTTGCCAAAGCTGCTCTTCATCACTGCAGTGTCTGCATGGCAGGAAACAAAAACAAAAACAAAAATAAAACTTAAGTTTCAAAAAACTCGTTGGCTCCTTGGCTGGCTGCAGCTGACTCACCATGGTGACCAGCAGAGGGCAGCAAACGCCCACAGCTGGCCAGGCAGCCCGGCAGCATGCCGGTGTCTCATGTCTCCGGCCTGTGGGTTGCTGGATGAGGCCTGGACTCTCCTGTGTCCACCTGTGGATGGTGCGAGGGTGGTCCTGGTACGGCCCTGTGATCCTCCATGCGTAATGAAAAGGCGAACACCACCACGGGGCGAGTAGCAACTATTTGTTGTGTACCCACTATATGCCAGGCTGCGAGCTCAGCACTAGCAAGTATGCCAGGAATCTATATCTCCCCTTCCACGCTTTTTTTCTTTCACCTCTTTGGGCCTCAGTTCTGTCACCGATAGTAGCACCCATCCTACAAGGTTATTAAAGGAAAAAACGAGTTGCCTGGTGAGTGTTAACCGCTGCCTGTCATTGCCTGTGGTCTCACAGCTTCATGTACAGAATCTGTGATTGAACTTGGTGCTGTCCACATCAGGGTCCATACGTGTGACCGCTGTGTGGGCCTTGGGAAAGAACTGATCTCTCTGTTCTTAAAGATTTATTTCATTTTTATTGGAAAAGCAGAGTTACAAAGAGAGGAGTGACAGAGAGATCTTGCATCCAAATGGTTCGCTCGCCAAATGTCAGTAATGACCGGAGTTGTGCCCATTGATGAGGCCAGGAGCCAGGAGCTTCCTCTAGGTCTTCCATATGGGTCCAGAGGTCCAAGGACTACGACCATCCTCACTGCCTTCCCTGGCCATAAGCAGGGAGCTGGATTTGAAGTGGAGCAGCTGAGACATAAACCAGGGCCCTATAGGATTCTGGCAGCCCAGGCAGAGGTTCAGTCTACTAGGCCATGAGCCCTAAGAAA